TTAAACAAACTCATTAACAAATTAATACTAAAACAACATTAGTTTAACAAGGAAAAACACGATATATATTCAATAGCATTGAATGGGACGAGGTGGTGTACGTAGGTAATTAAAATATAGTTAATGGTTGTATATGGGTGGAGTTGATTTTACTTTTCATTATATATAAAGAGAGAGGAAGTAGAACATACCTGGTAATGGCATCTTTTCAAATTGTTTTCCTTTCTGATCAATAATAACAACAGCAAAATCGCTAGGTATGTATACCTTCAAATCTTTTAACGACAATAATTAATAAGATTAAATTAATAACTCAAGAAAAGCAAATTGGACTGTATAAGAGAAAAGAAATAATTAAAAAAAAGAAAAAGGCATGCAGCATGCATTAACATGTAGCATATATAATTGGTTATTAAAGAAACAATTCTGCTTATTTTATGAGACTACCAGCAAAACAATCAAATTTATGAAAAAAAGAAATAAAAGAGACAAAAGTGGGGATCGATGGAAGGATTAAAACGAAAGAATAAACGATACTCACACTCATAGATCCATCGTTGCCAAAATGTTAGCCGACTTCCACTGCTGAATGCTGTTGGTGTTCGGGCGAATCTATCCAAAAGATCCTTCCAATTTTGATCAATTAAACTTTGACCACGGTGAAGTACATCCAACATGATATCTACACATATTCAAGTCATATATTAAAAATGTTGTCATTTTATATGTTTAATTACAGTATAAAATTTCATTTTGCGTAGTCCAACTTCGCATGCTCTTACCAAATCTTTTGGAAATAAAACAGCAACGAAGTAATTTGGATGCTTGTTTTCCGTTTTCCCATAATAGCATTTCGAATGGGGTTTCGGAATAGAGAAAGTTTGTCACCTCCTTATGCCCTTGTCTACATGCCGTTACTACCGGGATATCTTCAAGTCGATTTACCATAGAAAGCAAAGAAGAATCCTTACTAACTAAATATTTTGCAATCTCGGTATATCCAAACTGAGCAGCACGTGCTAGAGCTGTATTATCCCACAGATCCTTTTCCACTGCAGGGGTACACTCAAGCAATGCGTTGACAATATTTGACTTGCCAACCATAGCTGCGTAATGAAGACTAGTGTCACCTGTCCCAAATCTGAATTTTTCTGCCCCTGGATTTCTCCTTAAAAAGTCCATTACAGCATTAAGATCGCCCTTGTCAACTGCATTCTGCACAATTAGGGACTGAGGCCTTTCCATAGTTTGGTACCCTGCAAGGATTCAATTAAAGCAAATATTATGTGAGTAAGTTCGATTGAAAAGGGTTGGAGAATGCCCCTTGTCCCTCAATAAAATTCATTCCTTTTGGCTGATAAAATAAAATTTTAAATTTAAATGATTTTGAGGCAATATATATTATGATAAACCATATTTGAGATGTATGTATTTTATTGGAAAAAAAAAGTATTTTAGTAATGTTTCATTTAATTTAATAGCACAGAGCCAAAAATAAATTAATACATTCTTTCTGGTGAAAATATTATAGGAGTTCATTTCTAATTTGTGTCAAGATTAATAGGATTTTAGTAAATGTATTAAAATGCAATAAAGACATGCATTAATTCTGCAATGAAAAGATAAGCATTTAGTGTATCTTGATTTTTTTACCCCATATCCATTCAAATTTAGTAAATTTAATTAGTTTGTTTTCCTAATAAAATATTAAATATGTAATATATAA